TTCCCAAACTTAAAGGAAATGCAGTCGACAAAAATTACATGCTCAGGCCTTTTAGAACGAGGTCAAGCATTTTCTTTAAATTAATCTTGCTTTGAAATATGTACATTAATAAATAGTCATACAGTGGCTTGAAATTGTTATCTCAATCTCAATAATGTTATACATATGGCTCCGGTTAGTCTCATTTCACAACGCCCCCTATCGTCAGAGCATGATCTGAGTCGGCAGCCTAACATGTTAGCCTATGGACGTTTTTTTAAAAAAAATCGTTAAAAATTCATTTTGTGTTTAAACGAAAAGCACATCCACCCCGACGTACGTAATTATCACTAGCTCTTTCATTGGAGCCCTCATGTCTCATTGACTTTTGAAAGTTCACCCACCGTAATTTTTCAAAATAGGTTGCAAGCTCGTCATTGCCTATAATACACATGTGAAACAAGTCTAACTTTGGACTCAGTTTACCAAGCGATTTGAAGATTATAGGTCGAGCACACGAAACATAAGAAGCATGAATTATCATAGATCACTTCTGCCTATTTCATTATGTCCATTTCATCCAACCCCCCACCGTAATTTTTCCATTTAGTAAAAGCAAACATTTTGCCGAGTTTAGCAAAAACATGAATATTCATGAACGGTCAGACAATACAGCCTTTATAGTACGTAACGTATAGTGAATGGAATGGGCGATGATCCGTTCAGGAGGCAGAGGTCAGTGGTTTGTGCTGGCAATGTTCACGCGAGCGAAAATTAGACAATCGGAGCAATATGTTTATCATATAATCTTAGGTAATTATGCATATCACATGTGACAGGAAAATACTACTGATAACGTTAACAATTCGATGATATCAACATTCTCTTGCGTGTCGCGTTTGTGTACCTAAATAAATGTCAACCCATTTGCCTTGAAGCAATTTAACTGTTGCTTTCATTTTTCTTTTTACCCCAGTATGTGTCAGTAAAGTATACTATATCCTGTGCCAGAAATTCATTCCGACTAGGCCCTTTTACGCTTACAAAGCCGCGATAATTTTACCCAATCCTTTAAACTGGGACCTCAAAGAACTCTCGGGCCCGAATTCACGAAGGAGGTTTGTCGAAAAACCTTGGTTTTCGTACGTCCTATGACGCGTTTTTACGTGTTTTTTACAAACCTGGTTTGTAAACAAACGCGTCGAAACGCGTCATTATGACGCACGAAAACCAAGGTTTGTCGACAAACCTCCTTTGTGAATTCGGGCCTCGGAGTTTTGCTGCAAAATAAAGTCCGCGGTCTTTAGCAAGTTGTGTGTATGATTGAACACGAACATTTGCATGTTTGTAGATATTTACGTAAGGAACAAGATGGTATAATTAGTTTTTGCCTAATATGCACATTTTTGTCGTTAGGCCTATAGTGCGTATAATCATGTCTGTCCCCCCCCCCCGCAAAAAATAAAAATGCTCGTCCCTCGTAGCGCGCGGAAGAACAAATACCGGTGTCTTTGTGGTCTGTAAGCGAACTTTTACTTCGTAGAAGAACGAAACAAACAAAAGGCAGATTTTCGCGCGGAATTCACACTCCTATAACTCCTCATCAGCAGGGTTTTTTCAAGGTCCATAATTCCATAATCCTTCCCGCCTCAACTGACAAGTCTTTGTCCTTTGGGTGATAGAAGTTGATGAATAACAGGATTATCAACAATATATGCAGATTCTATTTGAGTTATGCATGATAAAGATTATTAACAAATGTAAATATCATTTCGTGCAATCCCGCGTCGGGTCTGAGTGAACTTTGTAGTTTGCGTAAGATATAAATAATTATTTGTTAATACGCTTTTCAAATCTTAGTAAAAGATGCTTACATGTTGGATAGTAGGTTGCCAATTTGTATTTAATGTAAACAAGGGTCTGTATAGTATTGAGCACAGAAAGATGAACAAATCCGAACAAAAAAGGAACTAGTAAGGGGAAGGGCTTTTTTTTTTGGTCCTAAAATCATGATTAATTAAAAATTAAGCGATCATTTTTATCTGTAACTTTGATCTTAAAACATACTGGGTATGTAGTTGATGTAGGGCAGGGGCCTTGCGAAAAGCAGTTTTGGAACTAACAACACCACCATGAATTAAGATAACAAGTAATTTGTTTCATCAATAAATAAATGATGTCATGATAAAAGTATGGGTCAATAGCATAACTATTTACCAAGCAATCCGTTTATACTTTACGACCTTTTCTCGTGACTGTTGGTCCCAAAGGGTCCTAAAGCTGGTTACCAATCCTAAAATCATTTTTATTCTTACTTTTGAAAGAGTTCCCTAGAAATAAAAATGCAATTGAACAAAATTAAAGGGCTCGCGCGGGACTATTAGAACGAGGTCAAGCAAATTCTTAAAATCAAATCTTGATTTAAAACTATGTACATAAACAAACAGTCATTATGTGACTCGAAAGTGTAATTTCTTTTAATAATGTTGTGTATTATACAATCGTGGATAAACATGCATGACATTATGTTACAGGCAAACACTACTGATACCGTTACATTCGATTAATATCATGACAATTCCCTTGCGTATAGAGTTTTTGTCCCCAAGTCCCCTGAGTTTCTCATAAGTTTACATAGGAAATAACCCTCTGATTTTCGTGCGGTCTATTGTTCAACACCAAAGTAGACAGAAAGCATGTGAAGCCAAACAAACGCAAATAAAATGGTGCCTAGACTCACATGATAACAGAAAGATGTCAAATATGATATTTGCTCAATATGATTGATTATACATTATGTTGTATTGCCCTTCAAGTGCCGGAACCTGGGTTTGTTGTTCGGATTTCTATTTCTTTTAAAAACTTTTCCCCCCTCAAAACAACAACCTTCGCCCCAAAAAACTCAAAACCGGGAACGTCGCTCAAATCCGCTGGTTTCAAGCAGGTGCAGTGCATGGTATATACACGTACACGAGGCCGGGGTCTATACTTATTAACGCTAGCAGGATTTCGAAACTAGGGCAAAAGACGAGTGAGATTTTATGGATTAATTTGATGATTTTATGCATTTATATACCATCTAAACAAACAAAATACATATTTTTTTGTTCATTAAAAACGATATAATTTTTAAAAAATTAAAAAGCCGACCGTTGATTTTAAGATTTAGGGGTCGGTCGCAAGGACAATACAACATTTTGTTTTTAACGCCTTACAGTATTACTTAATTGAACAAGGAGATATCTTAGAAACCTAAAACCACACATTGACAAGCAGGGGGTAGGGGCACAGTACCTCCCCCACTTTTCAAGTACCCCAAACATGCCCCTTTATATTTTGGAAAAGTGCCCAATTTCCTTTCTGATAATTAATTTCATATTCTTATACTTGCCCCCGTTTACCTAAAATAAGTGCCGCTATTACAATCGGATGTTTGCACCAGTTTGTATGTCAAGTGCCACTTTTCGTTTATAATAAGTATCCCTTTCCCTACTTGTAAATGCCCCCTTTTACCTCTAAAAGTTGTACCAATTCGAATTTGATAATTGCCCATTTTTACTCTGAGAAGTGCCCCTTTTATTTTTTCTTATGGAACCTTTTCTCTTCCGATAAATGACCTTTTTCAAAGATAATGTGTACTTGTTCAAATGTGATGAGTGAACCTTATTCAATGTGATAAGTGCCAACTTTCAATTATGATATGCTAGCCTGTTTTTTTTTAAATCAGGGCCCCTTCCCTTTCTTTCCTTTCTAAAATCTATCATGGTATTTTTCCCGAGCTCAGACATTGACTAAAACATTTTCCATATATATCTGTCATCTGCCATTTTAATACACTCTCATATTATAATTTCAATCTAGGTATTATGTCTTTCTCCAAGTTGTTCTCGGCTTCCTTTACGGTGTAGTATCTTTTACTACCATTCCAATACACTCTCATATTATAATTTCAATAGGTATTATGTCTTTCTCCTTTACGGTGTAGTATCTTCCAACAAATATTTTAAGAGACAATGTTGTCTTATAATGTTACCCAAATTCTTCTTTCTTTCTTTAACTAGTCCTACAAGGATATCTTGTTGCCAAATTGTTCACTTTTGACAGTATCCAGAAACTGTTGCATATCTTCTTTCTATTCTGCACACTGCCAGTGCCATCACCACAGCGAAAATCACTGATGTTCACACCTCCAACACTGACACTCTTCATATTTGCAATTTCCCTGAAATATCAACTCTGTGCACAGTTTAAACAAAGTTGGGGACAATAATCCTCTTTTTATATCTGTAATGCTTGTAATTTCATTTTTGATTTTGGTTGGAGCTGTTTGCTCCTAGTGCAGTTTGGAGATGATTTGCATGTTCTTATCCAAAAGTTACCTATAAAAAAGTGCCCTTCTTGTTGGTGGCAGCTCCCCCCCCCCCTTTGAAAAGGTGCGCCATCGCCCCCATCATACTGTGCCAGTTTTGTCGTATTATATGCCAAAAAAAGAAAAGAAATATATAATGTCTCAAATCGTGTAAATACTTAATTGCAAATACTCATGGAAATAAGTGACAGATACAACATTTCCCTCTTTCACTCTCTGTCTCTCTCTCTCTTTCTGACTTTCGACTCTCTTTCTCTTCACCATTTGTCCACCTCGTATTGTATTGACATCATTCTTTCACCTTCTTTCCTTTCCCTTATATATATTTATATATATATATATATATATATATATACTCACACAGACAATTTTTATTTTTAACATTGCATTGACTGTTTCGGTTTATCCTCTACTCTACCCTCCCCCTCCTCTCTCTCTCCCTATCTCTCTTTCTCTCTTTCCCTCTCCATCTGTACCTTTATATCTCATTCAATATTTTTTTGATATCACGTGCATATGTCTACTGATGCTATGTTCGTCTTTTTTATACTATTTTTTAAATTTCGTATGTACATTCTAATACTATTGTTAAAATCAATTTAAGACAAATAATTATTTTTCTGAAATATGAAACAGTAAATAAACTACTCACGTTCTGTTTAAATTAGGCTGCCTTTACATGATGACGGCAATCACTGCCTTTAGTTTGGAGGAACGACGAGTTGTTTCGACGTAATAATGATTGAGAAATTAGAACTTTGAACTACTAGTTAACAAGTCTAACGATAAAGTCCGTAATGGCAGTTCGTGTAGAAGAATCCCTGCTTACCACGGCGGTGCTTGCGGCTCAAGTTGATGTCAACTGGGAGAATGATGAGACTAATTATTTAAACATGAGTCTCCTTCAAGAATTTCAGTCTTTTGTCACTATTCAAGCCACTTTTTGACTGTCCGGATTCGCTTGCCTTTGAATCATCTAATGTGCTCAATTAGCCTGCTTGATATAAGAGTAAACTCGAAAAGTTCTCGAAATTCGATACCCAGTTTCAAACAGATCAGTTTATAGCAGTCCACGAGAAAGAAATAACATGCGGCTTCAGGAAGTACAACCAAACGGGATCAAGTCAATATTTGTGAAGGGTTTCAATTTTGCACGTGATGGTGATGTCATAAATCTCGTAACCCAGACAGTATGTGTGCGTGTGTGTTGACATGCAGCCCTACATAGGAAAATCACGGGACTTTGGTAGATCATTTGCAAGGGTCTTCCACTCGACAGTAAGTTGACCAATATCTGTATTAAAGGCATATCTGTACAAAGTGTAGGAATTGCAATTTTAAAATGTGAAAAATTAGAAATCTGTAAAAATTTGTACAGCAACAACTTGTTTGTATTAAAAAAATAAAGTTTTCTTTCTTTTGAACAATTTTTGAGTTTACTGTGTATTCGGTTTGCTTTTTGATGACCAAATTTTTTGTGAGAAGTTATATTTTTACTGAGCTTGTAGTACGGAATACATGTGTAATATTTGCTGGGAGAGAGAGAGAATACACTGAACAAGTGTAATTGATATATGTCAAGTTCCACATGAAGGGAAAGAGAGCCTGAATATGGAAGAGAGAGAGAGAGATATACATGTTTATAGAAAACAGATAGAAAGCCATAACTATGAGAGAAAAAAAACATTGATCAAAACATGTTCCCTTTCTACTGGATGTGTAGTCTAAACCTACTTCTCTCTCCCCTTCTCTCCATCTCTGACAATCCATTGCAGTCTTTTCTGAACGCTCCGGTGTGCATGCTCCTGTGTAGATATGTATAACAAATGTTTTAATGCTACGTTTTTCTGCCTTGTTTCTTATTCCCATTTTAAATATCTCTCCTCTCTCTCTCTCTCCCCTCTCTCTTTCTATCTTCCTCCCTCTCTCTCTCTCTTCTAACCCCTTTCCTCTCTCCCCCTCTCTCTCCCTACCCCTCTCTCTTCATTCTCTCTCCCTCTGTAACTCCCTTCCCTCTCCCCTCTCTCTTCTATCCCCTTCCCTCTCTCTTCAATCCAGTGTTGCAAACGAGCTACCGTGCAGAGAGATGAAGAAAGCAACCGAAAGCAACATATTTCCGGTCTTGATTAGCTCCATGACAACCCCTTTAAAACCGTTATAGATTAATGTTGCCTTGGAAACAGTTAAACAATATTGGAGCATTTGTTAGGCCTATCTATCACGTGATATACATAGCAGAGCACAGAGAGATCATCCATATCAAAGTTCAACAGTGGGACATTTTAAAAGCCATACATGTCCAGTAATTATAAGCATGGTTTTTAAAGAACAGAGCTGATCTTACTTATTCTCAAACTTAAATGTACTATGTAAACTTATTTTATTACGTACATACTTAGCAGTATTTCGTTACTTGTATAATTTATTTGTTCTATTATATATTGTAATACTGTATGGTTTAGATATGTCATTTTAATTTGTGGATATTTGAGTGGAAAATGAATCAAATCAAATCTAATCAAATGTGTTTTCAGTTTAATTTTTTCTGCCAATTTCTCTTGCCCTTCAGCAGTTTTTGCCAAGTTCCAGTTCTATTTTCCATTGTCCTCCTCCCCATTTTCTCTTTGTATATATTATATATATCTCTCTCTTTCTATTTCTATTTCCCCTCCCCTCTGTTCGATCTTGTTCACTCTCTCTCTTTTTCTCCTCCCTCATATTCTCTTTATCTTCTTTTCTATCTCGCTATCTTCTTCGTCTATCAGCTGTGTGCAAAGAATCTCTTCCATCTGTAAACTGTTTTATTTCACTTATTATTGTCTTCCCTTTCTTTAATCATTAATTGAAAACTCAATGAAACATACCACCTTATAATTGTTATCTGTAATTTTATTAACAAAAACTGCACAAAATGCCACTTTCTTATATAAAAAAGACACATGCATTTGACATGTACATGACCAGTTTCATCATTCTGTATTCTTAAAGACAACTCTAAAATCACGATCAATTGGGCAAAAAGAATTTCCGTTTCGGTTTAATAAATTTTGGAGTGGACTATTAGGCTATTATTATTATATTATATTATTATTATTATTATTATTATAGGAAGCAGAAGCAGACTTGTGAAGGTTTGGACGAAATCTGACAAAAAATGTAACAAGAATTTATTATTTAAAAGTTGCAATCACTATATGTACATGATGTAGTATCAACACCAAAAATTACATTTCCCCCTTCAATATGGTCTTTTTTTAAAGGACCTATAATGATATATAAAAACACTTTTAATATTTTTGTACACAACAAACAGGACAGTTATCCGTCACTACTTCACAATCCACTGCAAAACTTGCCAATGTGAGATTCGCATAGCTGTGTTCTTATATTTCAATCATTAAAAACATTTATTCTTGATCCGATATATTTTAAACTTTTACCATTCTGTTTCTCTGATATTTTAATTCTATTATAGGTCTATTTCTATTCATAGGGCCCCTCCCAAAAATTAAATAATTAAACAACAACAACAGCAACAGATAAAAAATAACAAACAAAAACAGAACAAAAAAAGATAAATCAAAAGAAAAGTGTCGAGATGGTCATAATTTCGGGGAAAGGATCTTCTAATCATCTTGTTGTGACATCACAATAACATTCTCAGAAGTACAGTAACTAGTAAGTACTTACTTTTTATCATATCAACAAGATATGAGCAAAGATGAGCAAGATTTTCAGATATCATAAGAATATAAATATTTTACCCTGTATCCAAACATTCAAGAACTATATACAATGAGGTTTAAAACCTTATTATTGTTATACCATGCTGAACTTAATGCAATTAATGAATGTTGAACTATTTTCCTTAGGTTATTCATTTCCATAGTTACCGGTCACTCTTTCGGCGTCGTTGTTGAAAATAAGTGTGTCTTTGTTTAAAAGGATAAACTACTAGAGCACATGAACATTGACGCCCTTATTAGATGCATGGTTTGAAATATTATCTTTGAATTAATGTACCGGTTAGACGAATGCTTAACCATAGTGGTCGTGAAATTGTAACAGATCAATGTATCTTAGAAATAAAGTTGTTTATTAATGTATTTCAATTAAATTAACGGACGTCTCTTCCTAACCAGGCCTGTTGCCAGTCATTTTATGAAAAAATGGCATCTATAGGGCTGGAATCCACTTCACATACATTTCCTGTTGCAAAGTCGGACAAGCCTCTGACAAGTTTTTAAGTTGTCACTATAAGAACTTTTATTTCTAAAAGTTGCATGGAATCAGTTAACAGGTCTTCTATAGCAAATAACAGATAATCTGATATTTGAATGAGATTTACAACGAACATACATGTAGAGACCTGATAGTAATACACTACATATACATGTATTACATAATGAATGAAATGTAGGCCTACATAACTTTGCTCAGCCAATCAAAGTTGTAACAGGTAATTTGTTTCATCATACGAGCTTAACAACATTCAATTTCGGGTGCAGTCAATGCATCAATTATTGATTAATAGATCGAAAATAAAATGTTCGCCAAGGAAGTATAAATCGAGGATTTACTCGGGGGTAACCTCGATTACCATGTTGCTATTTGTTAGCTCCATTTACCAAAATAATATGTATTTACATTGTACTGACTAAAATGAATGTACATATTAGTGATTTGGAGATAAATTCCAACTTGAAGTATCTATCAATGATATAACATTAGAATCGTACTTCAAAGACATTTAACTCGTAGAATATTTACATAAAACTGACCCTGTTGAACATTGAAACCTAAATTGCACATGTTTTTTTTTCTTCAGTAACCTGTACCTGTTGAAAATGTACTTGTAAACATATTACATATGAAAGACTGGCTTATTGCACATATAAAGCATCAATATGTCTATCTGGTTCCGTTTATACCCAGAAACATGATGGAGCGGATATGTAATACATCAATCCCTCCTAAAACCACAATAGAGATCTTTCGATTCCTGATTACTCCTACGCTTTGCATATGCCTCTCAAAGGTATCTGGTAATTTGATATCGCATACGCTACAAAGTAGAATGAAATTATTAAAATAATTATGTTAATTACCTATATATTTTTCATCATGAAGGTCTAATGCAAGCTTCTAGGAGGCCTATCTACCCCTAAGAAAGTGTTAAGCGGTCGTTTGTGTGCGGGACGTTTACAATAAAATCTTTACAAATCAGGCCCCTTGAGATATGTGCGGATTAGACAATTCCCTCCATCTTGGATCTTGGATTCACCTCCTGATGAAGTTGTGTATGAGTTCAGGGACTTTGCTGGTGTCGTGGTGGAGGACTACGGGGCGTATATACTGTATTATGGTGAGTGTTTGGATGTAATGGATCACGTGATGCTTGGGGCAATCTGTAGGAAGGTATGAACTCTGAAAAGTGCGGTTGCCTTGGACGATGCAGAGCGTCTGTTCCATGAAACGATGACTGGGAGGCTGGTGGTAAAGACGCTACTGTCGACGTTTCTGACAGCAATGTGGGTTGTTGGATCATATGTATCATTGGTCGTTGAGGATTGATGGTATGCGGTTGATCATCATAATATGATGAATGTGTTGTCGAAAAGTACCGAGGCTGCTCTGTCATTAAGAGAGGCTGTGGTAGGCGCTGCTGTGCTGTTTGGAAGTAAAATACAGTTGTTGATGCGAATTTTCTATGAGCTCTTGGCTCTGTGACATGATGGGTTGATGCTGCTGACGCGATTGTTGAAATGGCAGAAATGGTTCGCCCACTCTGTTATGGTCTGGATGCTGCCATGCTTCCTGTGAGACAGGTGTCTGTGAGACAGGTGTCTGTGAAAATGGCAGGTGATGCGGAACGTGTGTTTCAGGTTGCTGGTTGTGATGGTAGGTGATGGCTGGTGGCAGGGATGTTCCTGACGTGGCTGATTGGCGGTGA